CACCTTTGATCCTGCAATGTTGCCGCACGTGATTGCTTTCTATTGCATGCGTGATGTGTGAATGCATTGCTCTAGAAACGAATAGATATGATAGTCTAAACCGGATTTGAGCCTAATCAAGCCTCCTCTTGATTGGTGGTACTTCTTATTTTCTCTTTAATCCTATCCAACAGTCACGAATCGTTTCTACTTACCTTCCTACACTCATTCCTTCTATTCAAGATGTTGACTGTTTTGTTTATTTCTATCGCAATCCTAGTCTTTCGCTTACTGATATAGTCCCCATATCTAGCTAAACCTTTAGCAGTAGACTAGTATATCTGCCGTTGTGTGCGGGCCATGTGTTTGGCCAATTCCGATTTGTATACCCACAGACATTTGTAGGCTGTTTTGTGTTCGGATAACCACTTATGTTTGGGCCTACAGGCCTCCCATATTGATGATACCGCATGAACACAATATCTTTTAACAGCCTTATCTGGAGAGATAGTAAGAGTATTCTATAAAAGGAGAAAAAAACGAATAAACTATTATTTTCTCTTTATAAATGGTCTTGATGTCCCACCTCAATAATTCACATATTTTCGACAGATTACATGATTGCAGCATAAGACTTCGGATAGAGTGATCTAACTTTTTATCTATTCCAAAATCTTTCCCTCCATCAATTTGACAATATTCTAAAATAATTTTTAATCAGCCCGAGAAGTAGCACCGATCAAGAGGAGGCTTGATTAGGCTCAAATCTGGCTTTGATTCTCACTTCACATTCATTTCAAGGGCAATTCATTCACACAGAACGCATGCAATGGAACGCAATCACATGCGGCAACATTGCAGGATCAAATGTATTTTAGAGGATGATATAGCTATTCGTTTACAATTGCATCCGTTTCACGCTTCATCCTCATCTACTTAACCTACCTCGAGTAACCATTTAGGCAAAGCATAGGATATTAAATCAACACATGAGATGCCTAAGTAAACAGACTAAATTGAACTATAAGAAGTAGGTACGTTTGAAGCCAGCTACCTTTCTTGCCTTCGTGTTTTGGTGAATTATTGTCAAGCATGATGTCCTGCTATGACGATCTCCATCACATGGCGAATGAAGGCTCAGCAAGGATTCATCGGGATTGCAGGGCTGTGCGCCACGGACCTATTCGCACACAGCTCCAAAGTAATCCCTCTACAATTTCCGGTGAGACCAACTTACATATCCCTTCCACCCGCCTCTTCAAACGAAACAAATGTTTCCTCGACATCAGTCTATTAAGGGATTCTCCTTAAGTGACCTTTCTACATACCTTGTTTACTGTCCAAAGATCTCTTTTATTACCATACATGGAAACCGTGTTTCACTGTATAGGTGAGTGATTCATAAACTGTGCGCCGCGGCGCCCCGGGAAGCCGCGGCCTCTTTACAGGGGCTCAGCGAAATATTGTAAAAGCTTCAATTTGAGAAAACGTTTAGTGATTTGCAGGCTCATTCATCACATTAATTATTAACTATTAATTTAATGTTAATGATACACAGGTTTTATTTTTTATCTCTTACTTACAAATAGTCATCCTTAGGGTAGGGCACCATTGAAAAAGGGCGCCGCGACTAGGGAAAGTTTGGGAACCACTGGTATAGATCATTCTTAATTCTTTTCATGGAAATCCTGTTTCACTATATAGATCATTTTTAATTCTCTTCATTGCTTTGCTAACATCTGAGATCGAAATAGGAGAACTACATAGTGACTCACTACTGTGGGATTGTATGAACATTTTTGTCCTCTAAAACAGTTGTTCTTAAATGATCCCAGATAAAACTTCTTTAGAAGTTTTACTTAACAATATCTGTATACGCTTTGGTCTGCATAACTTAGCGAAGTACTGATAGTGTAATTTTCCCACAATGATTTGCATAGCCTTCACTTTTATTAACTTTCACTGATCGTCTTTATCTTAATATACATTATAATCGATAGAGTGCAGTTTATGCCTTATGTGTCTCATTCGTATCCCCAGCGGGGCTCAAATCCAAGTAGAGCCGTGTATATTTTAGCATGTTATGATCAAGCCACATTAATACGGGTACTAGTGCAACACAGGGCAGGTGTGACTTGTAAGGCATGCAAGGACTCTTATATCACAATTATGCGGTTTTTATTCAAGATAGGCTGGTTGTATAGAATTATATCGAATATTTTTACCTAACGGCTCAGTATGTGAGGGAAGAGATTACAGTACTTGCCTTGATTAGTACTTTTTGTTTATCTGTTTTTCCTGAATCCCACTGAAATATAGTCGGCATACATTTTCATTGGTGTTGCCCTCTATTTATTCCTGGTAGAGCGCTGCAAAATTTAGTTGAAACGGATGCATATATATATATATATAT